CCTAGGACAGTTGAGTAAGACTGTAAGAGGACGTCACACCCGCATGTGTTGTCTCCATCACACGTACGACATAGCAAATTTTCCTTCGCTATTTTCAATAGGGACATTGCTGATAGGTCATAGGGTAGTATTTTCAGTTTTTATATTAGAATGAATTGATCTATTATCAAACTCTTAATTTTATTCAAGGCATATCAACCATGTTCGTAATTTAGTCAAAAATGTATTGACTACAGGTCAGTTTTATGGTTTAAATTAAAATATACATAGGTACCTTGATAGTTATTATTATCTATACCTACATAATATATTATATTATACATGATATAAATTTGTTAATTTTGTAAAGTATCAGCTTATACTGATTTATATATCACTAGGTAGTAGGTATAGGTATTAAATATTTAGTAACTTAGATATCTATAAAGCATAAAGGTGGTCCATATATTGACATAGGTAGTGTTAGGTAGGATGCCTAAGTTGGGCCATTTGAGTTATGTATACAACTTTATGTAACTATAGTCAATAAATAAATACTGTATTTTTTAATTAAATAAACATATATGCAATACATCATTAAATAAACAATAAATCAATAAATAAACAATAAATCATTATAATGATATTTATTTAATAGAACTCCTTACTTGTATAAATATAAAATATAAAAAACATGTTGTAACTTATATTATATAAAAAAATATTGTTTTATCTTTTGTTATTTTGTGGTTGATTGAATGGAAATAGTTAGGTAGGTACTGTACTACACATTTTACTCTGGCTCGTAGAAAGTTGTCCATAACTTTTTTGAGATTTAGCTCGTCGTTAATGAGTGTCTTCATTCAGATTGATTTAAGCTTCCTGTGACATAATAATATAATATTATATTCATACAATTTATGAACAATAATCCAATAAATGAATAAAATGTTTAAAAGGTAGGTAGTAGTGTAGATGAATCATAATTTAGTCTTCATTAGTATAACTAGCTAGGGCAGCGGGTTCTCAAACTATATGGTACGCACATAACCAGTGGCGGTAGACTTTTTTGGGGGAGAGGTTACAACCCTAAGCTGACCCCCCTGGACCAGGGACACGACTACGGCAGCAACACACTATAGTGGTACCTACGCAGAAGACTACATGTTGGTACGCAAAAGGCCACACGGTGGTAGAACATAGAGTAAACAAATGAACATTTTTAATTGTGTTTGAACATTGAAACAGTTAATAAATAAATTGAAAATAATTTTACTTATAATAATATTATTCTATACAATATACGATGTACATTATTATTTTTATCTCGTCTCATAATTTAAATAAAAATTAAATATTTTATTACTAATACATATTTAATTTATTAAAATAATAATATTTTTATTAATAAATAAAAAATAATTATATTGCATTAATTTACTGCCATATTATTTGAAAGAAAATAATTAATGATTTTGAATATCTCTATTCTTAATATAAATGCTAGTATAATATATAATTATTATTATTTAATATTGTTAATGTATTTATTTTTTACCTATGTGGCCAAATGGCTCTAGATATCAGGACTGACTGGGACCCAGTTGGCCCACTATTCATAGCCCTGTATACTGTTACAAACATAACCTTTTAGAACTTAATTCTGGACTTTTGATTACTGCCAATCACCATGGATCAACAGACGATAAATGTTTTTAAATTAAACTTTATTAGAGGCGTAAGGTAATATTAATTGTTTGCTACTTTTTATTGTACTTAAAATCTTAAATAATAGATAAAATGTAGATGTAATAGATTGATCATTTTTACTCAGGTACACAATAATATAAGGAATTATTAATTGTTTGAGTATGTAACTCATAATAAACTTATTTAAGTAGGTACAACTATTTATATTTTATTTAGAATTTAGATATACTTGAAGCAACCGAAGATTGTATTGAGTCATTCATTGGCTACAGCCATATTTTTTGGTTGAAACAAATTGGTTGATACTCTAACGCAGTGTTATTTTTTAAGAGTACTTTGGTATATTAAAATCAAATTTTGGAAGAGTAGTTTATAAGCCCTAAAAAATGCATTTTAACCCAAATTATAATGTCCTTAAAAATCACCAAAAAAATTGTTTAAATATTTTTTAAGCAAACAAAAATTCGAACTAATTAAATAAACCCGATTATGAGTAGTAGGTAACACCATCTGACCAATTACTTGTTAGGTAGGTACCTACTTACTGGTCCGGAATACATTTAACAGCCGTTAAACTTAAACTGTAGATAAATAAAGACGTTACCGATGTATTGAAAATTGAAATCATAAATCGTATGTATGATTGACACATTATATGAATGGTCGGAGCGCTCGGAACAAAATATTTTAAATTATGTGACAATTAATTTTAGTTCAATAATGTATAACACGTATAAATGTGAACTAAAAAAAAAAATTAACAAAATTAGGTACCTAAAAATGATTGCTTAAAAAACGCCAAAACTGATAAAAATGAAAAATAATAGTTTAAGTTTTCAGTTCTTTGATTTATGAAACGGATTTTGTACTTGAAAAAGCATTGCTGGGAAACTTTATAAAAAATAATGCATTTGCATTAAAATGTTGGGCCTCTAGTTATAACTTATAAGTATGTCAAGTTTGGTAGAGCGGAGTGGATCATGTTTGGTCTACTACCATTTACTAAAATAAGGTGTTTTCTAAATACAAGATGTCCTGAAAAAATTGTTAACAATAATAATATTATACTAGGTGGATTATTTTTTACCAGCCCGGGGGACATAATATGGCCCAGTGTGCAATTGCACAGTAGCACAGTCCACCCCTGGGCTATAATATTTGACCTGTAATTAAGCTTTTAGGACAGATATAAATGGAAAAAATAAATAAATACATAGATATTTAAATCAGTTAATCGAAATTTCTTTCGATCTTTGTTTTTTATTCTCTTTGATAATATTGATATCTTTGAAAAAATGATTACTATCGGAGTAATTGTCTGTCGTGTTAATATTTCCATAGTAAGTTTTTTTTTTTTAAATATCGGAGTTAAATTATTTGAAAACAAACTGATATCGTATCATAATTATATCGAAGCAATAATAGTTTAAATAATCGGTGTATTATCATATCGTAACAATAGACGTTAGTGGCAGTAGTAGCAACCCGATTTGAACCCACGATGTAGAGAAGATGTGGTAAGTGGTAACCACTCGTATCGGTCGCAAATTGTCTCGGCGGTTTGGTAGTACAAATGTCTCGTGCAGGTAGCGCCACCACCGGTAGGCCGGTTTTTAATGTAAAATGTTAAAAATTGTATATATTTTTGTTGTTTTTGTTACTATTACTTTAAAATTAAAAATATTTACCCAGTAAGAATTATTTTTAAGTAATTATTCTATTCAATTAGGTACAATTTCAATTAGTTTCAATTAAGGAATTTCTATTATACAAGTATTATATTTTAACAACTTAATATATGTAATATGTTCCACGATTAGATACATCAGTTTAGACTGTCTTTTATTTTTTTTCTCGAGTGGCGTTCTCTGCATCACATACAAAATATATTCTTGATTGTAAATAAAGTGTTATAAATTATAATATATTTTTATTATTTTTTTTTTGTTATTATATATTATATAGGTAGGTACTTATAAAAATATAATTATGATTTTTTATTTGGGTGTACTTACTTGGTTCAGTATACGTAGTAGTATATTTGAGCTTTTATTAGCAATTTAAACTCGTACCTTATAGGTACCTATTGTATTGTACACAAATTTTGCAAAAACATACATTTGTTTGTTTTGACAAAATTAAAGTTTGTTAAGGTTGTCTGATTTTGATTCTGAAAAAATATTTGAATTCAGCAGACAAATTTCTGTAGATCGTAAGAAACATTTCCCATTTTTAATATTAATTTTAATTTTAATTATGATTCGAAAAAGTTCATATTTTCAAGTTTTTTATTACAGTTCACAATAATATAAAATTTAGTTTTTACAAAGTTAAAAATAGAAAATTTTCTGGTGAGTTAAATTTTTTTTTCAGAATCAAAATCGGACAACGTTAACTAACTTTAATTTTGTCAATACTTAGATCTTTTCAGCTAAAATTGACGGCAGTAGCCATAAGTTAGTCCATAGCTACACGTTGATGAAAAGTAGAGAACATAAAACATGGAATGTTTAGACATTGCATATTATGCGTCCATGATAATGGATAACGCGATCACTGCACGGCGCGGGAATTGTCGATTTTCTGCGAACGTTCGATCTGTCGGAAGTGAGAAGACTATCGCGCACTGGGCTAATACAAATATTACTACGTATTATGCATAATTCTCATACATAATATGTAAAATATAAGGGAGCCGCGGTATGCATTCCGATTTGATCTTTAACATTAACATTTTCCATAGATAACAATATAACATTTTATCATGTTGACTCTCTAATGCATAAATGCATAATACTATGGTGACTTCCTATTTCACCTTTATATTAATATTATTATTATTTTGATTAATACAAGCGTTCCATCATTCCATGGTATTTAGTTCGGAGCTATCACGGGTTCCGCGACTAGGAAAAGAACTGGTGAGTGGTAGCACTCGGTAGTCGGTACCTTTCTCGCACAAATTGACCAAGTGATGGTGTTTTGTACCCGGACCGAACTCGTTCGCTGTGTTTCCGCAGTCTTTCGACCCATGCCCGAAACATTTGCGGTACAACGCTTTGGCTCTGTACGAGCTCTTACGTTCCGCCAAAGGCTCGAAGTGTGCCAGCGCCGTCGGATCGTTTATGGCGTCCACAGCCCGCTCCAACTAGTCCAACTTATTGGTGGCGTTATTTCAACATGGATTAACGGCGGAACGGCACTCTGGACACTCCACACACGAACATGCATCATGATCACTCCCCATCAGAGTTGTACGAAATTTTTTCGATGTCTCACCACCAACAGCGCTTACTTATTGCTGCGTGTCGATGGAGCATTTCGGCCCGTGGACGGTATCTGATCCCAAACGAAAAGAGAAGAAAAAGTCATCTGCACCGTTCTATAATGACGGCGAGGTGTGTGATTTCTATCGATGCTCCGGGTTTTTGGGTCTGGATCCCGGCGTGGTCAATTACGTCAGCTCACGTTTCTTGACCGATAATTTTGTGAACAGCAGGCAAGGTCATAGATGTAACGGGGAACAAAATTATACTCAAAAAAATCGGCAAAGTTCAAACAGTCTGAGTGCGTGGAGGCGTGGAGCGGAGAATAAAACGTAGACGTGAAAACTCGAGTAGGCCCGTACGAACGAACGCGAATTACTCGAATACCAGTAAAATAATAAAACGTTATCAAAATGTGCGGTCGACTACGCGGAGACCTTGGACTATATACGGATATTGGTTGAAATACCACAAATCATCACAGTTAGTATAATATTCGAAACGTAAATTGATTAAATTATCGTTGTACTCTAAAATGTACGAGAGAAGCGCCGAAGACTCGTTGATAGAACCACTCGAACGTTTGTTAAACAGGTCAACAACGGTGTCGTGTAAGGATAAAAAAACACTCGTGGGTTTCGGCGGCGGATCGCTGGCGGGGAACGTTTAGAGCTATGGCGATAATTTGAAACCGGCCGTGTGCTCGTTACGGACGCGATCGCTGTGACGTCTGGAGGTTGCTGAGTACCTACATGTCCACGGTGTTCGGGGTGCTCAGAAGGCATGCATTTTCCTCCCAAACACGCAAAATCGATAGACAGACGACCACACGATCGTAGTTTTCAATTTTGCCGAAAATGCGGGAACTGGTAAATTATAGACAACAGATATGAAAAAATAATGTAATACTATTATTAAATTATTATTATTGTGATAGCCGGACGAAGTATTGTTCGGCTGACGTGTTTATTTTGTTATAATATTATGGTGTATTTGAATATAATATATTATATAAATATTTATAATACCCTTATATAATATACGACTACACGAGGCGTTTAGTTTCAAACCCGAGCAAATTTTTTAAAACTGGTTTTTTTGTATTTTCTAAATGGTCACACTGTATTACAAGTCCTGTAACAATATTGAACATCAAATAAATAGCTACTAGTAAATTGACCATGGAAAATGTTGGTTGGTTTCAAAATCACCCATCTGACTATGTTTATTTCAAAACCAGCCATAAAACCAGGCGACCAGCTAGGTATTTTATAAAGTCAATTTCAAAACCTTCCATGTACCCACATAACAATTTACAAGTGTTAAATTTTTTTTTAGCTTCAAACCCAGCCATATGGTGATACTTGCAACAAAACCAGCTTTATCGAAACTAGAAAGTAATAACTCTTGTAATAATATTTTTATAAAACACCTATTCGTACACAATTTGTATAAGTTCCAAATCTATTATTTCATATTTATTACAAAATCAAAGAGGAAAATATTAAGGTATTTTTCGTTTTTTTGTTGTTCCTGAAAAATTTCAAAAATTGTTTATTACTGAATTTGAAATTACACGCCTCGTATGCAATGAATAAATGATGTCTCAATTATTATTCCTGTGGTTTTATGGTGGTTCATAATACGCCCCACTGTGCCATAAAGAGTTAACTATAAATCACTATTAAAGATAGTTAGAGATAGTGATACTAGTGATAGTGATAGATACTATCTTTAATAGTTTAATCGTTCTATAGATATAGGTATTACTCGGCGCTACATTACCGCACAAAATGCATAACCGCCATAACCCAATACATTTTATCACAAGGAAAATTATTATACATTAAAACCTTCCCCCTGACTCGACCGATTTATTAGTGAAAACCGTATTAAAATAAGTAGAGTTCTTTTCGAGATATGCTCGTACATACAAAAAAGGGGCTTCTATTTTAAATATATATAGATTATATTATATTAACTATATTAATATTTAATTATTATTATATTATTTTGTATATTACACATTATAGTAGGAAAATCGTATATGAGATCTCGGGGCTCCCAAAAACCGGGGGCCCCTGTGAATTGCACACTCAACCCTCCCGATAATTGCTCCACTGATTGTAAAATATAAGTGATAAAAAAAGTGATTAGAACAATTTTTGTGTTGGCTAAACTTCAGGATTTCTTTATCTCACCCTCTCCCCTTAAAAAATCCTAGATACGCTACTGCACTTCACACCATATTACTATAAATAGTAAAATAAATTACTTATATTATTAATAGCACTATACAATATGTATTATTGTATTCTTATCATTATATGATCATAGGTTGACCGTCTCCTCTCAGAATCGTTTTTCGTATACAATAATTTATCATTCAATTCAATTTTATCCATAACAGTGACTTACTGAATGTCTAGGTACACTCGACTCCTAATACAGCACAGTGATTACCTATAGTTTCCTTCTATTAATGTTAATATTAAACATATTCATATAAGTATTTTTAATTTATTTTGTAAAAAAAAATATAAATTAAACAAGTTTTGTAAACCTATAAATCACTCATTCGTATAGGAAATAAAATTGGAAAACATAGCTGCTAGTAAAACGGTCAGCTTATAGTTGCCAAAACCAATAACCATTTGTAAAGACAGACAAATAATTTTATGTATTTTTTTAATAAGTCTTATAAGTTATATGTACTTATAACTTATCGAGTACAAAAATACTGGAACTTGGCAGTGAACATTTTTATGTATCTGTAAAAAAATCAAATGAAATATGTCTATTTGTATGTATGTATGTATGTATGTATGTATGTATGTATGTATGTATGTATGTATGTATGTATGTATGTATGTATGTATGTATGTATGTATGTATGTATGTATGTATGTATGTATGTATGTATGTATGTGTGTATGTATGTATTATGTATGCATGTGTGTATGTATATCAGAAAACAATAATAGAGCAAACAAATGTATAAAACTATATTTATTTAAATTTATGACTTAATATTTATTTTAACTTTAAATATTAAGTCAATTATCCGTCATAGTTATATTTTCTTTAGCATGTTTGAAATGATTTAAAAAATATCTACAAATATAAAATAGGTTTGGACATAAGTATAACAGTGTATACTTAAGTGCGTTAGTGCAACTGTGCAAGGTTCCGATATATCCAGTTGATGATATAAATATTTATTATTGTGACTTTTACCTATAATAATATAAATTACTCTTTTAGCTCAGATTTTAGTTATCAATTACTTTTTTTATAACTTATATTTGCAATTATTATTAAAAAAAAAAAAAAATACCGTAATAATACCGTCAATGTGATTTAGATGATATATCAAATTCATAGTTATTTTTATAATAGGAAAATATTCATGTATTCTTCTGTTATTTTCCAATCAAAATTTAATTTAAATTAATATTTAATGATATGCCAAAATGTTTGTAAATGTTTTTTTTTAAAGCATGTTTGCTTTTTCAAATTGTTTTCTACTACATTTACTACTGTTATGCCACAAGCCCACAGCCGTGTAATATGTTATCTTCGTATTACAAACATATAACAGGGAAAATTCGTTTTCAGTTATTCCAATATTGTGTATTTGTAGTAACCTTTAATAATTCAGTGAATTGTCATAATTATTAAAGGAAAAATATTATCTATGTTCCAGATTTGTTCCCATGTTTTTTACTATTTTTAAGTGAGTTTTGAGAAATTTTATATATATTTTATTTAACAAATCTAGGTACTCATAACTTGCTTAAAAATTAAAATATCGGAAAACCCATGCGAAAACAGATAATATTCTTACGTCTAAGTTTGATAAGAGACCAATTCACTCTATTTTTAAAGGTTACTACACAAAATTGGAACTGCTGAACACAAATTTGGTATGTTGTACATTTGTATAAGATGGAGACAACATACGTGGGTGAGATGTTAATTGGATAATTTTTTAATAATTTAATTTAATTTAAAAATAAGTTTGATCTAAACAGTCTTAAATAATATCAACTATCAAGTACCTAGGTTTTCATATTTGAATAACAATTAATGAAGATTGAATGTTAATTTAAAATACCCCACCTTCGAAAAAAGCACAAAGTTTTTTGTTTTTAAATGTCTATTAACTTAAACTGAGATTGAAGCTAGAATCGTCATTTTTGTATTGCTGTCCCACAAAAACAAATAATAATGTTTTGGCTATTTAACTGTTCAATGTGACCATGTAGGTAAGTGGCAAATGTTAAAAATAATACATTATTTAGTGTTTTGGATATTTGTTATCCTACGATAATATGTTGGGGTTGTATAAATCGTTGAGTTGGTATGTATGATATCACTTTATAAATTATCATCGTTCAGTGTTATCAAATAAATGAAGTAGATAAATATAGTGTATATTTTTGGAAATTTCGGGTGATTGTTAATCAAAATACATTTTGGCGGCTTTGTTACTATGTATTTTTTTAATACGTGCGTGTTAAGTTATATTCTAACAGGCTGCACTCATGCAATTTAAACACGCAACTTGAATTATTTACCCTTCTACTGATAAACTTGTTAGTATCCAAAGAAAAAACAAATGTTGCACGGAAAAAAATATGAACGAATATTTCAAAATATAAAACAGCCATGAAATTATTAATTAAATTTAGATAGCTAAATATATTATATACATCATAATAAATTATTTTGTTTATACCATTAATTACGTTTGTAATCTATTACATTTAATGTAATAATTGTCGAGATGTATAGGTACATTTTGCAAGTTTCCTTTGAATAACAAAAATTATACACACATAAAATAATGTATACCTACCTAATATTATAATATATTATATTATATTATACTGTATAAGGTATCAATATATAATTTTTTGGTATTTATTTAAAAAGTAAATAATTTTAACTGATATTTAACTCATTTTAGAAGTTTTGTTTAACATTAAATAGTTGGAATTACTAACATAGTAACATTTGTTATCATAATAGAAAACTTTAACTGTTCTTAAATTTTTAATTTTTTAGCGTAACTGTTAAAATTAGGTAAACCTTGTGTTTGAAAATTTTACCAAGTAAAAATATAAAAATGTTTCAGTCTTAAAAAAAAATCCTTTTGACATCCATCGTAATCTATATTATGATGCATTTATGAACTTAATTTTTATTTTGGTAAAATGTATAATATAAATTAGTAAATGACAAATGTTTATCAGTATAAATTAAAATTACCTAGGAGTCATTGATAATTTACAAGTGTACCTATAACACAAATCACAACTAGAATATAACTG